ATGAATGGAATTCCAAAATCTCTGTAGATGTTCATTGAAATGAAAAATAAATAAATTAAAATTTTTTTTAAAAAAGTCGTCTTCTTTTTCCTCAAAGTGGCATCAACTCTATGGAAGTAATTCATGGCAACAGTATGATTAGATAGATATGGCTGAGCATTTTTCTCCTGCCGTAATTGGCTTCCTGTATTTCTTGTCTTCACAGACTAGTCCTTCAACATACCACTTGCCCAAAGAACCTCATCTCAGGGGTTGCTTTGAGGAAACCACACCCAACCAGTGATGACCAACCTCTATCAGTCATTGCAACTCCCACTACCAAACTTTTGATTACCAGCTAAAATAACCTGTTGCAAAGTCATGATTCTCTGCATCTTTTGTCTGCAAAGACATTTCTCAGGCATTTAAAGATGTATCTCTGTGTTGAGCCCACAAATTAAAAGTGGAGATTTGACTGCTGTCAAACACAGGATCACATAATGAAAGACATGTTCATTGAAAGACAAATGAACGAGCATGACTATGTTCTAATAAAACTTTATTTGGCCTGTCCAGATCAAATTTAATAACCTTTAATAGATTTTTTTTTCAAAACATGAGTAGTAATAGCAATTTCTCTGTAACAATAATCATATGTGAATTCCTGGTCATATTCCTGGTCTTGCTGCTTTACCAAAAAAGTCAAGTCACCCCATGAGAATAGAATGGCACATGAGGAGGGAGTGGTGACACGTCCTTTTCATTAAAAACAAAGAAAACCAAAGAAACCCCAAAACAAAACCCTTAAACCCAAACACATTGTATTTACATATTTGTCATTTAAAAATTGGTCATTGTGATGAATTCTCTTAAATATACATTTCTAGCATGTTGCAGGTTTCAATGTACAAACTGCAGTTAGCCAATCAGATTTAAGGTGCTGTGAGGTGAGGTGAACACAGTCCATGACGGATACTTAGGAGTTTTCGACTCACAGACTGCCTGGGCTTCCTGCGGAGGTGTGGCAGGCTCTGGGGCAGGTGTGTGAGAAGAGTTGAATCCCAGTGATGAAGATGGGGGCCACTCTAGGGGACTGGATCAGGGAGAAGGGGCTGTTGGTGTTTCCTCAGGTTTCTGATGTGTCTAGACATCACCATCCTGAGCGCTGGATGGGATGGACTTCTGGGTCGGTCTGTGGGCTGCAAATGCATCCTTGACTCATCTGTGAGGAGCACATCCTTTGCTCTGGGGTCCCCAAACTGGTACCTGACTCTGAAGGCCTGTGTGATGTCCCACCTTTCATACTTTCTTGAATCCTTGTCCCCAGGGTCACTAGCTGTGCAGTGCATTTCTTTGGGGCCTGCTCTTTGCCAGGTAGATGCTTAAATGGGTAATGGATGAGTTCCACGGATGCTCAAACAGAGGGGCAGTGTGCACGTAGCGTGACAGGTTCTGGTAAACCTCCCAGGGTAATGAGCTTGTTCTGTGGAGGACACCTCACTGCTGTCATCTGAGTGAGCAATCCATGGTGAGAACAGCAGGTCCTGAGGTAGGTGTGGAGAGGAACTGTGTGTAAGTGGAGGGTGGGTGGACAGGTGGGGAGGGGAGCTGAGGTGGTGGTGGTGGGAGGGTTGGGGTCTTCTTGGAATTACTGTCTTCAAACTCACCCGTGACAACAAGCAGGCTGGCACTAGGGCTTCTGTGTCTATGTGCGTGTTAGGAAAGTGCATAGGGTGTTCTGGGGGTGGGGTGGGGCATGTGCACAGGCCTGTGAGATGCTGGCATGCACCCAAAACCTCCAGACTGGTCTAGTCTGAGCTCAAGACTTCTGACCACATAAGGTGGGGGTGGCACATACAGGGGTGTGGCAGAGGAGAACCTTGAAGCATGTGGGGAGCTAGAAAAAAAATTATTATTATTATTATTTTTTTGCTTGGTAGTGAAGTTGACTGGCTGCGTTTCCAATCTGTAGAAGCACTGGTCTGAACACAAGGGTGGGGAGAGAGTTAGAGTAAGAAACCCCCTGGGCCAGTTTCTGATTAAAAAGCCAGAGGGGGTCTGAAGGAGGAAGACATGATCCAGGAGGTGATGCTGGCCATAGGGGTAGGAGGCTGAGATTCCAAGCTGGCCCTGACACTGACTGGGCCTATGATCTTAAAGCAAGTCACCTCCTTTCTTGGTGCTTAAGTGCACGCCTTACTCGGGCCAGATGGATTCAGAGCTTTGTCTGCAAGATCCCACTGTACCTATCCACCAGGTAGAGGCTGCAGACGGCTAAGCCAGCAGGCTTCTCCAATGGCTGCACTGCCACTCGGAAAACGCACCTGCCTCCCTGTTCTGGGGGCGCCCCCATGACTGGTTCCTGCTCCAACCCATTCCCAGAGGTTAAAGGCTAGTTATTAAGGCAGTTTAGGAAATGGACATTCCTCTCTCTCCCAGGATCCTTCACTGGTTCTGCGGACCCCAAGGCAGCAGAGGGGCAGGAGGAGTGGTGGAGGCGCCAGGGCAGCTGTCCCCAGGTGCCAGGCTCAGCTTGCAGGAGGAAAGCGCACGTCCCTGGAGCTGGGGGGCCAGTCCCAGGGCCTGCAGCCCCCGCTGGAGCCTCACCACCGTTCTTTGGAGAAAGCCTCACTCTGTACGAGCTCGCCTGGGTGCTCGGGGATGCACGCGCCATTGAGGTCTCCCAGCCTGTTGTCTGGCAGGTCCTCTGGCTTGGTGCAGAGCTTGAGCGCGCGTGAGATGAACACGTCCAGGTCGAATTGGGGGCTGGCGCCCCCGTCGCCGGGGGCCTGATGGCTCGGGGGCGAGGCGGCCAGGCGGCGCTCGGGGCCATCGAGAGGCGGGCTGGCGTGCTCGTGCTCGGGGCCACCGCCCTGCGTGCTCTTGACCCACTGGGCGATCTCCAGGAAGAGGCTGGCCGGTTCCTCGTCGCGCGCCACCGCGTCCGGCGCCACCGCGGCCGTGGGGGACGCGCCGGCCGTCTGCTTCCAGTGCGACAGGTCGAGGATGAGCTTGGGCTCCGAGTAGTGGTGCGGCTTGCTGTCGCGCCACAGCAGCTTGTCCAGGTAGGACGGCGAGCCCACCTTGTAGTCGCAGGAGCGGCCGTAGTCCACCTCGAAGGCGCGCTCCATGGACGAGTGCGACTGCTCCAGGAAGCGCTCCGAGCTGCTCTGTGAGTCCTTGCGCGGGTCCACCTGCGCCTCCTCGGCCCCGGGCGCAGAGCCTGCGCGCGGGTCCCGCTGCACCTCGCTGGCGTCCTGGCACCGGTCGGGCCGCCACTCCAGGTCCGATGACAGGCTCACAGGGTACCTGAAAGGGCACGGACAGTCAGCGATTAGTTCAGCACAAGGGGTATTCCTACGGGGGGGGGGCAAAGTCCCCACCCCCTAATTGCCATCCCCCTGACAGGTAAGCTTTCCAGTCCTTGCTTCCCCTCCCCCGCAAGGTGGCAGAAGGACTCCCACTGGGGACATGATCCCAGAAGAACAGTTAGGTTTCTTTTGATGCCATTCAACCCAAGGATATAAGGAGGATAACACAGCCTAAGCAATCCTTCCATTGCATTTCCTCTCCCCAGTGCCCAGGGCAATCTTAAATTCTCCTTCCCAGCAGCCAAGTTCAAGGTGAACACAGATCTGAGCTGCCTTCCTCATCTTGTCAGGGCACCTTTCACATTTGCCATTCTGAGCTTATGTCCTCTTGTACTTCTTTGCACAGGGGGGCAGGAATGTCATGCCAACTCCACCCCCCCCCTTTGGTCAGCCTCTGGATGTCTATCACTTGGGGAAGGATCAAGGACAATAGAAAATGATCAGTGGTGGCCCCTTCAAGTGGTGTCCAGGCCACGTGCGGCACTTGTTATAGATAAACCTCTGCATTCTGCACAAAACCTACTATGTTCATCATGTTTGGGAGGGTGGAGGGATGGCACAGGAGAGAAAGACCCTCGATGAGATGGATCGATTCTGTGAGTGGAGTGGTGGGAATGAGTGTTTGAGACAGCGACGTTGGCACAGGATAGGATGGCGTTTAGGGCTCTTGTACATAGGTTCACTATGAGTCACAAGCGACTTGATGGCACACAACAACAACAACAACTGTGTTCTGGAGCTCTGTCTGGGGGGCTGAGTGGTAAGGAGTTTCACTGCCAACACAAAGGCATGCAGTTCAAATCTGCCAGCAGCCATCTGCTCTGTGGGAGAAAGATGGACAATCTCCTTGCTTGTGATTAACTGTCTGAAAACCTGCTGGAGGGTGGGTGGACTATGAGTCGGTTCTGACTCGACGTACGTATTAACAGCTATGATCTAGTGTCAATTATGTTCTACGGTCTCACCACCACGGGAGAGAGCAAACAGGAGGTTACCTTTTAGTTAATCCACTAGTAATAAAGTGTTCCACCACTTCTGGGGTGCACACAGATCGCCTGGTACCTTGTGAAAATGTGGCTTCTGACTCAGTAGGCTGTGTCTTTGACAAGTGCCCAGGGGGATGCCCACGCTGCTGGGCACCAGCACATCATGTGGGCAGCACAGTGCATAGCAAGGCTCCTGTGGGTGCTGCCCCGCCCCCAGATGCAAATCAGCATCACACAGGGAGTACAAAGGAAGGGCCCTGCTTGCCCACACCCGAACTTGGAGTCTGTCCGGCCAGGTAGGGACCTGTATCAGCATGTGTTTAAACCTTCCAGGTTTTAAGGGACATCCCAGGCTGTGAACCCCAACCTTTGAGGATCTGTCTGGATGCTTCATAGCACCCCCAGGAATATGAAAGGCAAGTGGGGCCTGCAGATCCAAGAAAGATGCCCTGCGAGAGGTCAAAAGTCGTGGGGATTTGGGCTTCCTGTGGGCTGCTCTGGAGCTGAGCAAATCAGTCACCTCTTTTTGTGGGGCCCTGACTGTCCCTAGAGGACAGCAGAATGGACTCAGTGGGTTTCCAAGGCTATAATCTTTATAGAACCAGACGGCCACCTCTTTCTCCCATAGCTCAGCTGGTGGGCTTGAACTACCCACCTCTTAGTTAGCAGTTGAGTGCTTTAAATCACTGACACTAGAATGCCTAGCCAGCAGCAAACGAAGGGCAGATGGGCTGTCAGCTCGGGCCGAGCCCTCGCTCCTGTGCCAGGAGGGGCTATAGGGAGCCTAGGGGAGGTGCCAGCCAGCAGCCGGCTGATCCCGGAACAGAAGGCTCAGTGGTCACACAGGAAGAACTGAGGGCAGACTGGTCAGCGGCAGTTCCCCTGGATGTGGGCTGAGGCACTGGAGGCTCCTACTGACCATCTCCAACTGAAGCCAGCAGAGCAGGGATCACTCCTCGAGGTGAACGTGTCCTCTAATTGGGGTGTCTTCAACTGTGAAGAACCTGTGCAGATCCAACCCTTCTCTGGCCCCCATCAATGTCACATGCCAATTATGTGTGGTCTTCACAGCAACTCTGCGGAGTTCTTGCTCTGTCTCCCGCTTTACAGATGAGGACACTGTGGTCTGAAGCCTGTAGGAAGGTGCTTATCTTCTCCTGAAACCCCGCCTCCCCCTCTCACAGGCGTGCCACGTTGGAGGGCATCACAGTTGGTGGGTGGTAGCCAAACAAACTCTCCTGCAGGTTTTCCTGACACCGACCTGAGCCACCGCCGTGACATGCACAGACGGGACCTTCCAGAGCCAAGGCTCTGTGTCCTCAAATGTTGTGGAGTGGACTGGGGGGCCCTGCAGGGGACTGGGGGGCCCTGCAGGGGACTGGGGGGCACTGCAGGGGACTGGGGGGCACTGCAGGGACCACAGCCAAAGAGGTCTCGTGTAAGGCAGCAGCAGAGAAGTGTGATCGTTAATCTCTATTTGCCGCCAGCTGGTGAGAACAGAACCGGCAACAAACCAACAGACCTGTCCAAAAATAGCAACGCTGCCCTGGTCCTCCCTCCACTACTCCCGGTGCCTCCTTATCTGAAAACCATCATCAGTCATGTGACCGTTTGAACAGAAGAAGCTGCTCATCTGTCACTTACGCAACTAGTTGTCACTTCCCACGGAACTGGGACTCCCACGTGGGCCCCCTCAGAGTCCTAGCTTGCTGAGCTGCTATTTCTAAACCAGCAGCTCCCAGCGCTGCCTCCCAGGACTCACAGATGGGGAATGCCCCAGACACAAGCCGCTGCAGCAAAGAACAGCAACCGAAAGGGAGTGAAGGGACCAGTCTTTGCCTGGACAGAGACTGTATCTGCTTCCTGGAACAGTGTTGAGAAGGATTTTGAGGCTGGGTCTATTTTGGCAGGAAAGACTCCTGAAACTGACGAACAGTGTCAGGCACAGATCTGGGTTGAGGAGAGCCCCAGGTGGGTCAGGAATTACCTGTGTGACCTGGGTGCAATCTCTTAACCTCTCTGCTCTCAAGCTTCCTCACATGTAAATGTTTAATCATGTTAACAGAGCTTCTCTTAACAGCTTGGGGTGCACATGATGTGACATGAGGGAAAGCGTTGTGTAGTGGGAGTGCTGCATTTTTTTTTTCTTGCTTTGCAATGTTGCAGTTTATTTTTTGAGGGCAAATTCTCAGCCTGCTAGACATGGTCTCTTTCAGTGGGCATCTCTAAAGCTCTATACAATTGTTGCTAGTTGCCACGGCGTGGATTTGAACTCATAGTGGCCCTGTGTGTTACAGAGCAGAACTGCCCTGCAGAGTCTTCACGGCCATGATTTTAACAGAAGAAACTGTGGCGGAGCAATGGTTAACTATTTGTCTGTGACCTGGAAGGTTGGTGGTTTGAATCCACCTGTAGCTCTGCTCCTGCAAAGATCATACTCTGGGAAACCCTCTGGGGCTGTTCTACTCTGTTCTCTGGGGTCTGTCACAGAGTTAGAATCAACTTGAGACGAGTTGTTTTCTTTCTTATAGACCAACACCCTTGGTACCAGCAGTCAAGAGAGCAAAAAGACTTATTGCATTTGGGAGGTCTGTGGTCAGGGACCTCTCCAAAGTACTGAGCAGCAGTGATGCCAGTGTAAAGACTAAGGCGCACATGATTCAAACCATAGTCCTTTCAACCACTTGCTATGCATCTGAGAAAGAGCTGGACAATGAACAAGGATGACAGAAGAATTATTGATGTCTGAATTATGGTGTTGGAGGAGAGTCGTAAATATCCCATACACAGTCGAAAGAACAAACAAATATGTCTCGGTGAGAGTGTAGCCTGAGTGCTCCTGAGAGGCAGTGATGGCTTTGACTCATATTCTGCGCATATTGTTAGGAGGGGCTATTCCTTGGAGAGGGACATCATGCTTGGGAAGGTGGAGAGGCAGTGCAAGAGAGGATGACCGCCAATGAGAGAGACGGACACAGAGACCGTACAGAGGGGCTCCGGTGTGTCAGAGATGATGAGGACGACACAGGATAGGACAAGCTTCAGATCAGCAACCACCCCCTGGGCAGTGGGTTTGGTTTTTGGTATCATAGTGATGAGGCCTGGTGGCACAATAATTAAAGAGCTTGTGTGATTGCTAACCAAATGATCAGTGGTTTGAATTAACCACAGCAAGGGGAGTGAGGTGGCTTCTGTAAAGATGGAAGCACTTCGGAAATCCTAAGGCACAATTCTGCTCTGTCCTGTGGGGTTATCATGAGTTGGAATTGACTTGAGGGCAGTGCGTTTGGTTCTGGGTTATACACAGTAGGTGCTCATTAAATGCTTGCCCCGTGTTGTATTTAGCTCTGTGGTCAGTCACTATGGCGGTGAGGAAGCTGCTGGTCGCTGGACCACACACCAGCCCTTGATCTACATATGTAGGGATGCAGTTGGGCACACGTGGGGTTTGGCCATCCAATAGAAGTGTCTGGTGACAAGACAGAGAAAGGCAGAATGCAAAGCTGAGGAAAGTGTCCAGTGAGCCTCTGGAAGGCAGAAGGGAAGGTCCCAGAGGACCAGAGGCCAAACGCTAACGGGAGGGCAGAGGACGTGAGCGGGGCCCCAAGCGCACCTGTCCCAGTTGGAGAGCTGGCTCTGGGTGGAGGCCATCAGCAGGATGTCGTCTATCTCATCCTCGATGCGGAAGGGATGCTGTGAGGTGGGCTCATCCTCGGGGCACGAGTAGGGGCTCATGTAGGGGTGCTGCAGCCCCATCTCGGCCGTTAAGCGATCCATGGGGTTAAAGGTCAGAATCTTCTCCAGAAAGTCAATGGCTGTGGGAAGCAGGACACACAGGTCATTCGTTGCCCCTTGTCAAGCTGAGGATGAGACTCTCAGCGTGGTGGCAGTCCCTGGTGCTTGAAGTTCTGTTTGCAAAGTGAGTTTTAAGCCATGATTTAAAAGTCTCAAACCCCACATCATTGCCATGTAGTCAAAACTGACTCATAGTTGACTCTCCAGCAGGTTTTCTGAAGCTGTAAATTGCATGATGGGAGATTCCCTATTTTTTCCCCTCACATTCACTGGTGGATTCGAACTGCCAGAGTGTGCTGCCTTCGGGTTGACAATGTGACTCCCTGTGGACCACACACACCATCAGGGCTCAAAAAGAGTTGTTGTAGCTAAGTGTCACCATGTTGAGTCTGACTGATAGTGACCCCAAGAACAACAGATCTGAACCCTGTCCATCCTGTGCCATCCTCATCATCTCTGTCACACTTGCGCCCACAGCTCCAGTCACTGTGTTAATCCATCTCATCGAGGGTCTTCCTCTCTTTCACCAACTCTCCACCTTTTCGAGCACGATATCCCTCTCCACGGACTAGCCTCTTCTAGAAACCTTTTGAACTTCACAGATCAATGTCTAACAGAGTAAAGAAAATGACATGCCCAAGGCCCCACTGTAAGTTCAAGGAGGTCTGGAGCGAAAACTTTGACTCAGGTTGGGTTTGCTAATGACAGCATCAAACAAGGATTTAATGTAGGTGCTGACAGGGCAGGTGATCCTGGGGAGCCAGAGGTGGGGGGCAAGCCAAAACAGGGTGGCTGAAGAGCAGCTGGGCACCTGGGGTTCAGTCCCACTGGGGTCTCAGGGAGACAGTGGAAAGCACACCTCACAGGTGGCTCTCCCTTGAGGGGTGAGGAAGTGGGGTATTTATACACCCACTCCTCTTAATCCTAGTGGTAAAAAGAGTCGATGCAAACCCAAAGGCAGGTGGTTTGAATCTACCATCTGCTCTACAGGAGAAGGATGAGCAATTTCCTCCCCTGCCGTTTACTGCCTCTGAAAACCCTCTCTCTGCAGGGTCAGTGATGAGTCAGTTCCAACTTGACGGCACACAACCACCACCACCACCACCACCACCACCAGGTTGAGAGCTGCTGGGTTTGGATGGGAATGCCCCTAAGAAAGCCCTGAGGGGCCAGGAGTCCTGGTCCTGCCCTAAAAAAAGCCTCCGGGATGGGGCCCTGCTGGCCCAGAACTCCAACTTAAAAGTCTTTCTGCCCTGTGCCATCCCAGGAGGTTTGAAATCACAGGCTTGATGTTCAAAACACATCACAGTCAGGCACAGCCTCCTCTGACGCCCCCCACTGTGTAATACTTTAGTGTCTAGATTGGTGAGCAGTGGTGGGCAGCTGGGACCTGGGGAAAGGCAGGGGACACGAAGAAGCACTGTATGGTGGCTACTGGCCAACCAGCATCAGAGTATGCAAAGATTTCAGCAGCTGTTGTTGTTATGTACTGTGGAGTCAGAACTGACTCAGAGCTGACCCTCCAGTGGGTTTTCAGAGGTCTTAAATCATGTGAGAGCAGCCGGGGGGGATTCAAACTGAGTACCTTTGTGTTGACAACTCCTCACCACTAATGCACCAGAGGTTGTTAGTCTCTGCTCCACAGTCCTTTCCACATTAGCACTTGTTTCCTCTGGGTTAGGGTAGGGACACCCACCTGCCTGTGAGCTCTGTCCTGGGTTATCGCCAACATAGAGACTTCCATCAATTCTCAGTGTGGGATCCTAGAGGCCCCGTGAGATCAGGACTTGGCTAATCGTGTGACAGTCCAAACAGAAACGGAGAAATCCAGGTGGGCCTGGGTGCAGCTAACCTGCCCCTCCAACCGGCCCTGGAGGAGAAGCCATCAATCTTTCTAAGATGCCCTCCCACCTGTAGAAGAATTCACCAAAGATCCAGGAAACTACGGCCTCGGAGGTGGCCTCCCAGGAGAGCAGAGAGCTGCCTGTCACCCTAGATGGAAGGTCTGGATAAGCAGAAGGACCACTGGCTACCCTGCCCCTGGGTGTCCAGGGTCCAAGGTTGAGGACCCGAAAGGTCAGCCTCAAAGTTCTCAGGATCTAGAAGAATCGGCTCCCCCAGTGCAGAGCCCAGCTCCACATCTTTCCCTGAGCGGGTTCAGGCCCCTCTCAGGGCCCCTCATTTTGACCCCTCGGCCCCACCCACTATCCTGGAAGTTTTGCTAACACATTGACAAAGCCACTGCCCCTTGCTATGTCAGCACCGTCACCCTACGAGCTGATGACATCTTGAAATCTTTTCACGTTGACTGGCCATCAGTCTCCCAAGTGTTCCTTCTCCCTTGGATATCTTACCTCTGCCTTGTCACCTGAAGACCACGACCTGATTAGGGTCACTGTTCGAGGCTGGAGAATGGGGACTAAAGTTGATACACTGAGAAGGAGAAGCAAACCTGGCTTCAGAGGACATCTGGCCAGCTACAAGATCATGTCCAAACTCATCAGCCGGGCAGATGAAGCTCTGCAGCTGTCCACCCTACTCACCTCTCCACCCTCAGGTCCCTCAAGCAGCCTGGGACTCATCCTGCTGATGAAAACCCTCGCCAGCTGTCACGGCTCACCTGAGCCCTGGCCACATTCCTGTCCCCTCCTGCACACCAGGAGCTCTCGCTGCCCCCCACCCATGTCCCTTAATATTCCAACATTAACCTTTTCATGGATATTCTCCGCCTTCCTAGCTAGACCAGACTCTTCCTTATGTCTCTGACTTTCTCTGGTGGTCTAGTGGTGAGGAGTTGTGCTGCCAATCCGAAGGAACTGTGTTCAAATCCATCAGTTTTTCCTTAGAAGGAAGATGAGCAGTCTCCTTCCATGTGATTTACAGCCTCTGAGGGTCAGAGATGAGTTAATTCTGACTTGATGGCACGTAACAAAACGTAACAGCACCGTTCTCTCCGCCTTCAGCGGCTTCGTAAATGTGTCTCGTGTTGGGAATGACAGAGACTTTTACAGCTCCTATCTCACTTAACCCTTCCAGCCACCCCACGTGATAGGTACTATTACAACCATTTCACAGTTAAGGAAATTGAGGTTCAGAATTTTGGTACCTGGCTCAAGGCAGCACAGCTAAGTCACTGAAGAACTGGGAACTGAACCTGGGTCTCTCTACTTCGTAAAGCTCATGTTCTTGGTACATTATCAAGTCTTCCAAGGAAGAAATCAGTAAGGAGGGATGAGACAGAGAAGAAGGCAAGAGAGAAAGAGGCAGAGAGGGGGCTAGTAGCAGGAGGCAGTGTAGGAAAGGCCACTAAAAGGCTGTCTCCGTGGTTGTTGAATGACCAAACTCCAGAGTGGATGTGGCTATGGTTAAGGCTCTAGGCCAAGGGCCCCTCAACTCCCACATCCAAGGTCTATGCCACTCTCTTCAGAGCGGAGACCTGCCTGCCTCCAGCCCGCTCGGTGTGCAGCCTGTCGAGCAGCACCTCCACTGACCTTCACTGTCCACTTCGGGGAGCAGCTTGCGAAGAGGCCTCTTCACCTCCCAGGTGCTGCTGACGAAGGAAGGCATCACCTTGAGCAGCTCGTCCTTGTCCTCCTCCCGGATCACAGGGATGGTCTCCAGGATCAGCTGCATCTGTTCCAGCTCGTGAGCCCCTGGGAGACAAACGTGTGCTGATGAGCGCTGCATACGGCCTGCCTGAGACAGGCCACGTGGAGCAGATGACAGGGCCCACTGGGCTGGGCACCAGAGGACCAGCGTTCGGGTCTTCAATCTGCCACCAGCTTGTTGTGTGACTGCAGCAGGTATCTTGCTGTCTCTGGGGCTTACTTCACCAAATACAGAAAGAAGGGGTTGAATCTGGTCATCTCCGAGGCTCTGCCCATTCCCCTGACATCCTGTGACTCTGATGAGACAGTCTGATTTGGACTGAGTCAGCCAGAGCTGAAGAGATGGCTTTAGTGTCGCCAAGTGTGCACATTCCCTTATACCTCTCTGTGCATGCTCAACTGGACCAGGAGTCTGGGAGTCCTGGGTGCTTCTGCCCCGCGGAGGGGCAGTGGGAGACCTAGAGGCCAGGATAATAGGGCAGGCAGCCAGGACAGCCACACAGCCTAGGCGGCACATAGATGGGGAGGCCGGGACGCTGGCACCAGAGTCCTCAGTGTGGGGAGTGAAGAGGACACTGGTGGGTGTCAGCTCACAGAAAATGAGGCAGGACACGGAGAGGCCATCTGGCTGGTATGTGTCACAGGAAAGTGCTGGGTTCTAAACAGCAAAGCAGCAGTGGTGGGTGAGCAGGGTGTGGGCTTGCAGCCTCCGCAAAGGCAGCTGAAGGAGGGGTGCATGGAACAGCACTGGGGTAAAGACAGGCTTGGGAGGGTTGAGGGGCTGTGCAGAGGAAGCAGGGCCAGTGTAGGTGAGAGACCATTGAGGAGGGCTGGCTGGAGGGCTGGGAGGAAGGCTGAGAAGGGGCAGGAGGGGCTCATGGCTCATGCTATAGGGTGGGGGCCATCAATCTGGGTTGCTAGCTTCAGTGCAGAGGGATGGGAAGAGAAAAAGAAATGAGAGTGAGTACAGATTTCTCACCCTAGCAAAAGGAGAGAGAAAAAGAGAGGAGAAGGATTATGAAGGACAGTGGGTCACAAACACTATAACTCACTCCCTGGGGGAGTTGGGTTTTGAAGGTTCATTAGGAGTTTTCCAGGTTGAGAAGGGGCCATGTGCCAGACCGAAGAACAGCTATTGATTTATTTGGAAAGCAGTGGTGATATAATAGCAGGACAGGGACTTAGGGACAGGGAGAGAGAGGAGGAGTCTGAAAATGTAAGGTGACTCACCCTAGTAACAATAGCAAAGTTCAACAGAGCAGCAAACAACAAATACTGGCAAGGTTATGGAGAGACTGGCAGCCGTATTCACTGCTGGTGGGAGTGTAAAATGGTGCAACCACTATGGAAGGTCATTTGGTGCTTTCTCAAAAGGTTGGAAATAGAAATACCATTTGACCCAGCAATTGCACTGCTGGTAATACACCCTGAAAACCCCAGAACTGAAACCCAAACAGATGTATGCACACCCATGCTTACTGCTAGGTTAATCACAATAGCAAAGTGGTGGTAACAACACAAACATCCATCAACAAATGAATGGATAGAAAACGATAGTATATTCACAGAGTGGAATACTACACAGCACTGAAAAATTATGAACTCATAAACTATTACACAACATGAGTGAGCCTGGAGGACATGGTGCTGAGTGAAATGTCTCAGTCTCAAAAGGACAAATACTATGTATGAATTAGGCGTGACATGGGGGTCGGGAGGAGAATTGGAAAAGAATGGATAGATAATGAACACTGTATTGGAACAGATGAGGGAAGGAATGTTTAAAAGGAATATATGATTAGGCATTATATGTATGACAACAGTCCAGAGAAAGAGGTACATTACAAAGAGGACTGGAGGAGGGGTTGGGAAAGGGGGGGGGAAGAGTAAATCGTGCAAAAACGAATGAATGAAAATTCAACTTTTCTGCAAACTTTTTGTTAAAATCATAATTAAAAGAAAGAGTGTAATGTAAAAAAAAAAGAAAGTGTAGGGTGAGCAGTTTTAGTCTTCAATCTCAAGGTGCTTTGGCACAAAGAGTTTCTTGATTTCAAAAGTTCTGTGCTCAAAAGGCAATTTTATCCCCTCCGGTATTTTGCCTGAAATTATAAGAGACATCAAAGTGGTGCCCTTAGATCTACACGGGGAATTTCCGAACGAGGTTGGCACATGAGCGTGGTTTTTGCACTCAGCTCTCCCTTTTCCGTAAAAGGACACCGTGAGAGAAGGAAAGTGGGACAGTGAGCAACTCACCAGCAAAGAGCATCCTCCCAGTTAGCATCTCCGCCAGGATGCAGCCGGCGGCCCACATGTCGATGGCTTTGGTGTAATTGTTTGGGGACAGGAGCAGGCGAGGCGAGCGGTACCATTTGGTCACCAACCCTTCCGACAGATAACCCTGAAAGACAAAAATACCTGGTTTTTCCAGTGATTTGCATATACGCGTTGTTAGAGTGCAACTGTGTTCGCCTAACAGACAAGCTGAACTCCCAAACCTTGTACTGTCAATCCATTCTGTTTGGAAATGAAGCTTTTCTTTCGTTCCATTAATTCAGCCATCATTCTCTCACTCACGCGCTGCTGCCAGGCAGAACGGACTCACAGCTGTTCCTCCACTGGGTTTGCAGAGAATGTAAACTGCATGATGGGAGACTGCTCATCTTTGTGGAGCTGCTAGTAGTGGAATCGAACTGCTGCAGAGACGCTGCCTTTGAATTAGCAGCACAATTTCCCACCCACCAAAACCCCTTGCTATAGAGTGACTCGAGCAACCCTCTCTGTAGGGTCTCTGAGATGGGACATCTTTATGGGAGGAGACACCTAATTTTTCCTGTGGAGTAGCTGGTGGATTCAAACCACTGACCTTTTGGTCACAACACGTAATGCACTATGGTACCAGAGTCGCTGCTTACCACCGAGTCAGAACCGATCCACAGCTGACCCTCCAGTCAGTTTTCAAAGGCAGTATTAATCACATGGGAGGAAATTTCCCATCTTTCTCCCATGGAGCAGCTGGAAAATTTGAACTGTGTACCTTTGAGTTACCAGGACATCTCTTAACAAGTAGGCCACCCAAGCTCAGTACCAGAGTAGAGTGGCTTATAAAAGGAAAAAACCAGCGAGAGGGAGAGAACATCTGAAGAGCCATTTATAAGGCAAGGAACATCAAAGAACACCGAGGAATGCCCGGGGCTACAAATGAGGAAACAGTTGACCCTGGAGTCTATGCTTTCAGGCGTCCAGCCTCCAAAATTGTGAGACAATGTCTTTTATTCAAAACCACTCACTTTGCAGTATTTTGCTACAGCAGCCCTAGGGACTAAGACTTCTCCCTCCCTTCCACGTGGCAATAGGCCCCTTCGCTCTCCTTCCTTTCCTGCTGTTGGCAGGAGGGAGTCCCTATAAGGATAGAGACTGGACTTGCTTTGTGGTGTTCTCAAGCTTTGGGAGAGAAATCTTTTCAGGTTCTGGGGTTCTTCTCTGTAGAGGGAGACCCAGGATAATAGGACCTCAGCTTGATATAACTGCACTCATGTAGTAAGAAGAGAGATATACACACGCCATGCTCAAGTTCATTACTGCCATTGACAATGTAATTACAAAAAATGTCATCTACTCAGGGACTGAATTTCAGAAGTAGCAATAAACTTGAAATCATGCGCTGGGTATTACTAATTGCTTTGGTGATTATAAGAATTAATACCACTATGAAACCAAACGTCAGGCATCTGCTGAGAATAGATAAGGCCATTTCCCCCACGGATGCAGGTAAAAGGCATATGCATACAGATGCAGCCCTAAAAGTCACAGTTGAATCAGCTGTTGGTGGTCCAGAGGATTAGGAGAATTTGACACGGTATCTTTTGGGGGCATAGATGCTTCAGGTGGTTTCAGCCGCTGCTCAGTGGTTTGGGCTTGTGATCTGGGATGGAATCCCTCACTCCAGCTCATCCCCTCACTCCAGCACTCCATGATGATACAGGTGTTTGAGCACAGTTAGACAAACATAACCAGGAAATAGAGACATTGTTTTCTACATCCTTCAGAAAGCTGGCCCGGCAGGGAAACTTGAGAGACATCCACCTGGAATGCCTGGAATGGCTTCCCTGACGTGAGAAAGCGGACCCACGAGGGGTCAGGGAGGGACAGTTAAGACAGGACCGGACTGGACGCAGTTCGAGATTCCAGGGATGACTTCATATATATATATAAAATCACCCAACAAAACCAACCTATTAAGAAGCCCAAGCATCAGTGCATCTTTGATCAGTGGATCTGAAGTCTCTCCATTTGCTGAGCAAAGATTTAAGCATCTAAACCCTCCTGAGCACCCTGAATTATGATGCCACTTTTGTTGCCCCGATGACACACAGTTCTCCAGAGTAGGAGCCCCAAACTGGCACCAGGGTGGAAAGAGGAGGATAGGAAGACATTCCTAAGATGAAGAGGCAGCACTAACCAGGTCCTCAGCTGAGAACTCCATGCTCCAACCCAAATAAATGTATGCGATGTGTCAAGCTGGTTCCTTCTCCTCTCGCCTGCAATGCACATTCCAGTAATGGGGGTTCTCTATCCATCCTACCTCACACCCAGGCCAGCTTCCTCTGGGAAACGCCAGACTCCCTGGGATGGTGGGGTTACACCCTCTCTCAGGTGTTTCATTACCTCCTGTATCATTATGCTTGCTTTACTTCTCTATAGCAGTCCTCACCTGCACCCGCTCCCTCACAGACAACAAATGAACTGTGTTCACAACTATTTCTGCATTACCCAGCACTTGGGCTGCCCCTAGGACAAATTCAAGCAGCCCTGACAAACAGAGAAATAGAAGGCGGCACGAATAAGATTGTTCTCACAAGGTGTGAACCCTTTTGAAATCAGACACCTCCTGCAGTGACCACTGACAATCTTCTCTGACATTCTTGACTTGCTGACAAATTCCTTGTCCCGCTCTCAAAGGTGGGAGACAAGTTTATGCTCCAAAGAGGAGTAACAAATGTCATTTTTCTGAAGTCAGATGTACAGGATTTACTTTTTAAGGACAAATATTGCATGAGACTATGATTCTAAAAAGTAACAAAAAGGCTCTTCAAGTCCACAAAAATGCTTTTTAAAGGTCACTGGGAGGACGGGAGGGAAAAGGGAAGTAAATCATTAATTTGAGGATTGTTATTGTGTGTAGTTGAGTTGGAAATTACTCATAGCTGACTCTCCAGCAGGTTTTCCGAGGCTGTGAACTGCACAGGAGGAGACTGCTCATTGGTAGATTTGAACTAAGTACCTTTGGGTTGGCAGCACAGGTCCTTAACCACTATGCCACTAGAGCTCCCTCAGGTCCAGAAACTCATTCCTCTGAGGCGTTTGGCTAGGGCTAAAGATTTTCACAACTTAGTCCCCTCCTCCCCAAATGCTCTATATTCCTGGACATGTGTACAGCATATATGTAAATACATATGTATTTCTGTCAAATCTATATTAGTTAATGGTTATTGTACCTAAGGGCTTAGGTGCACTGAGTATTAACTTTTCTACAATGTCATCTGAGCGGAATCACAGTTTGTGACCCTTTTGAGTCTGGCTTCTTTCATTTAGCAAAATGCACCCAAGATTTACCCGGGTTGCTGTGTAGTTGGTTAAGAAATAAAGGTTGATTCTTAAAAGCCCAGCAATAAGTCAAGCAAGCTACAGAAGTCCCCTTCCCGATGGGCTGGCTAGAAATCAAGAATGACCTGAATTTGTTTTCCTGGTGAGATTAATGTGCAAAGTCTAAAGCAAAGCGAACCCCCAAGGGAGGTGACGTCAAGGGAATTTTCCTTGATACATACACGGACAGTCTTTTATGAAATGGAATACCTTGTAATTAATAAATGCCTATTTATCTGCAGAGTCTAGGGCTGGAGAGAAACAGGGACACCTGGGAGCTTCCTTCTCAAACACCTGCCCTAGAAAAAAAAAAAAGATGTTTGTTTGGGTAAGGCTGCCCCAGGCCAGAAGGACTAGGCCATGCTGTGAAGGCCATAAGAAAGGTTATCCTGACTCTTCAGTACCTTTGATCACCAACCATGGACCTGCTGGGTTTTTGTTAACCTCTAGCTGCTTCCCTATGATGTGACCACCGGCCAAGGCCAACACGCAAGAGGTAGGACCAGAGCTGTCCCTTCCCTCCTGCCATCTTGGTGGTCCCATCAGAGAAGCTGGCTCCAGAGGGGCCACCAGGAGGCAGCTGGACCAGGCTTCCTTCCTAAACTTCTTCAAGAAGACCGTTTTTTGCTGTTGCTCAATTCTTAGTTCCAACCAAGTCATTGTGTTGCCCTTTGTGGAACAGGCGATGGGAGGCTTTGACTTTGAAAGTAACAGAGATGTTTGGGAAATAATCTGGTAGCACCAGCCCTGTGAAAAGGATAATCAGGGCCCTCCCCACTGCTCCAGAGGAAAGGTGTAATTAAAGGGCTGCATTATCTCTGCAGAAGAAATCGGAACCTGCTCCTGTCCCAGCTGTCTGCCGGGGAGTTCTGAACCAGCTCCATCAGATTTGCTCTGGAAGGTAGGTCCCAGCTCTGCCCTGAAGCCACACCTCCCTGCTTGTCCGCTCTACTCCTTACCTGTCCACCATCTCTAAAACCGCGGCACCAGCCTGACCCTGTGTCTGGGAGGAGAAAAGCTGGGGGGAGGGAAGACATAACCAAGGGAAAAAAAAAAGCATTTGATAATGTATCTATTCCTCCCTCAGGGTATCGTGGAATTACGCAGGAAGAAACCCACAAAAATAAAACTCCAAAAATCCAGTCAACTACAGGTTATTTTTTTGTGTGTATACCATCAAATCGGATCTGACTGGTACAGGAGAAGATAGCCCCTCCTCTTCCAGCAGAGCATCTGGTGGATTCAAACCACAAACCTCTGGAATTGCTGGATCAACCTTTCAGGTAGCAGCTCATCAAGGTAACCCTCTATACCACTCAGGGATTCCATAACACAGATAGCCAACATTTTCCGGAACCCTAATTATGTTGATTAGCACGTCTCATCCTTCTAACAACCCTATGTTGTGAGGCTTTATTATAACTTCATAGTGGGGAAATGGAGGCATGGAAGAGGAAATGACATATCGGGTTTTCAGTAGCACAACCAGGATTTGATCCCATCTTTGAATCAAACATGAGGCTTTGTTCTTGTTGTTGTGAGCTGTCGAGTCAGAACTGACCCATAGGTGACCCTCCACCTGATTTGCAGAGGCAGTAAATCACACGGCAGGAGATTGGTCATCCATCTCCCATGGAGCTGCTGGTGGATTTGAAACATGTGCCTTCGGGATTACAGTGCAGTTTCCTGCCATTAGGCCACATGAGGCTTTTCTTTTTGTCATGAGAGATGTCTAAGGCTATCAGTGCCGTCCAG